ACCCGAACGCATAAATTAACGTGTTGAGATGCAACACTTCCTACTCGAAGCATCCCCGTTTCGCGCGAGACAGCTAAACGTATGAAATATTTTGAACAGAAAGGCCTAGCATAAAAGGGGACAATAAAAACGATTCTTAACCAGAAGAAAGTGTTTTAAGGGAACAATGGTTGCATTGTATCTCGTTTTCCCTGTCGCTTCTCCCATCAGCGCGCGGCCGCTTCCATATGAAGACATAAAGAATTCCCGCGGAAGCGAGGGCGGGCCGACACGACTGTTAAGCAAACAAATTTAATGCGTGTGTATAACGGGCACCAATTTAAATGATAATGCGCGGTGTGTATGCGTCCAAGATTAACTCGTAATAGGCCGGAATAAATGTCGACGGACCTGTTAGGCGTATCTAGCAGTGCTACACGGGAACAGTAGGTGCTAACTACTCCTGTAGACAAGCCTGTTTATATTGATGCATCGTGTACACCCGATACCCGCGCGTGAATTCGTCCCGATCGCAACGCCGAAGGAATTAGGTCGCGCATCATCGCGATCAACGGTCCCGGCGTTCCTGTTAATATAACGGCAATAAATTATTGGCCCGCCGAGCGGTACAGACCTATAATTACCGGGACCGGTTATTAAACTTCGTCCGGCGTTTGGTTATCATAGAACGAACTGTCACGCCGGATCTCGTTCGCCGACAAATCATCGTCCGAAGAGCGGCGGCACGGGAATTCAATTTGAGCGCCTTAACGCGTCGTTTAATGAACGCTTGACATTACACTGGGCGTGTTAAACGTTCTCGACAAACTTCGTAGCCGCTAATTACTCGCTGGTATAAAACCGTCGACACCCTTCAATTATAACACTATTCAACATTTAGCGATGCGACGCATAGTACGTCGAGTCTCCCCAGGATCAATCCGAACATTTCATTTCCTATTCAACACCGACACGCAAAGTACGCGCGTATTCATGGATTACACTAGGACCAATAAAAACCGGGTTTAACGAGCAGCGCAAAAACCGTAGCCAAGACAACGGCGCCGGCAAAGGTCGAAGAGTCTTCGAACTATGAGGTAAGTTTGCCTCTGGGGGTGTCTTGTCGGTGTTGTCGCGGATGGGATCATGCAAGCTGTGCCCCCCGCCCCGGCCCGCCCCGTTCCCCGTCGTTCCGCCGGTGAACCTCTTTGCATATACATTCTGTAAGATTACTTTGTGCGGTTTACACCCTCGGCCCACCCTCCTGGCGCTCGTCCTTCAGCGCACCGCGCGCCGAGACTCGGAGCCGTCGACGACCTCGCTCCTTTCGCCAGGAGGCAAACTACCCTGCAAGTTTCACCGGGGGTCCCTAATGTATGCGGAACTATACGAGAGAAATTCCAAGTTCGGCATGGCCGTGTTAGGTGCCTTTACGATGAGTATCTCCTGCCGCCCTCTCTCTCTTTCCGCCTCCGCGCGGAGAGGACGAACCGCCGGCGAGACTCGGCGGCAGGAGAGGCGAACACGCGTGATCCTAATTAGAACGCGTCCTCGAGGTGTCGAAGTAAAAGCGGGTTTCTTGTTAGGCGTATCGCGAGGAAGAGACGCCCCACGGCGTTCCGCGCGTTAGTGCCGCGCGAGGAAGACCGGTTACGCCGAAAAATCGGCGCCGAAGTTTCCCGAGGACGTCGCCGGCGACGATGAAACTCCTGGCCGATTAACAACGCCGATCGTGTACCGGGGAACCGATCATTTCTACGCGCCCGCCCTCCTCCGGCTCGAGACAGCGCGAGCGAGCGAGCGGTCCTTGAAACTTTTTCGGGAGATATTGGTATGTGGGAGACTGTCTCCGTGGAAACGGGGAATGCGCGTACGATTACGAAAATTTCTCACGAAAATACAGCTCCTAATAGTATTCTTTGCCACCCACATCTCCGGCGGATTTACATAAAAACGAGCGAGGTCCGTACCGCCGAAGCGCGATGACTACGAATAACCGCATTAACTTCCTGGCATCGTTTTAATATTTCCTTTCGTTAACGCGGGGCCGCGGCGGTCTGAGAGGGTTATCTTAAAAAGGAATCTCGCGAATTATTTACGCTATTGTGGTTTCCACGATCGGTTTTTCTATTTTTTCTTTTTTATTTATATTCCGTTAAATTATTACTCGTCACTTCGATCCCGCCGAATGGAACTATTTTAGTGACCCAGTGTGAAGTGATAAATTCATTCGATTCGATGAAAAATACTTGTGAAACCGTGGGTAATCCTCGAGTCGAGATTCCCAGGTCGCCCCTCCTAATTGCAATCGTCACGGTGACGCGGGCGTCGATCGGCACGTAACCGGCGTGCATTCAATGACCCGTAACGAGCCGTTCGACGAAAGCACGCCGGAAAAATTACGTGAAACGTGTTGATGCGGCGACCGGCCGGCAAACGACGCGGCACGCGACACCGCGCTAGACGACGGGGTCATTTCGGATGCGAGGGGCGGATTCCCGTGGCCACGGTGCATGATAATTGCCGGTAAAGAAAGCTACGCCGAGCCGGCGGCCCCACCTCACGGCTCCCCGGAGATTACAGGATGTCCGGAGGCGAGAAGATTCTCCGGCCGCGCGGCCGCGGAACCCCGTCCACGGCTAATCAAAATTAACCAGCCGGCCCTCGAATTTCGACATGAAAGGGGGACCGCCGCCAAAAATAGACACCGGCACGGGAATAATAAATAATTGTCGTCGAACCACGCGCCACCCGCGAGATCCTTTGCGGCGGGCTACGCGGACGAACGTGACGAAAGCTGTTTCGTGTTTCCGGTGAGTTTTGTATTTTCTACACGTTCAATATTCTCGGAGCCTCTTCCACTAAGTGTGGTCCGTGGAGTAAATAGGTTAATCGCCGGAGTTAACAGTTTATTAGAAGCTAATCGATTCGATGTTCACTATTCTCTGTGTTAAAGACGTTGAACTTTGATTATCGAGAAGGAACTACGATGTGATTGTGCAAAGGCTATGAAATATGAATAATACAGTAACCTTTTAATTACTACACGCCATTATAGCGACTGTCGTGTGTATTATCGTTTTGAACTGTATGACATTATAGCGAGACAATAGTTGCGCACATTATAACCTAACCTAACCCGCACAGTGGAAAATTCGATCAGTCTGAAATCGCAGTGATGTTACGTTTACGATACGCAAACCGCGTGAAACCTTGCCAAACGGAGGTACAGCTTCGCGGCTAGTTTCGCCGTAGCCAAGAGGTTAATATTAAATCAGAAAGGAACATAATGATTCCACGGTACACGCAAAAGTCGTAGAATTCGCCGGTAAAGCACACCAAAGAGAACCGAACCTCAGCAAGAGAGGGGCGCTCCTTCCGATTCCCGCGCAGGGTTACACGTGGCCGGTCCTTTTAATCGTTCGGCACGATAAACATATCGAAATTATGATGGAGGATCGACCGGGTAAAGGACGAGCGGTGCCCGCGCGCTGGCTTTAGCGGCGGAAAGGATCCTATCCCCCTCTCTCTTCCTCTTCGCCCGTTCACCACCCTCCGCCTCCTCCACTTTTAATTTTCAGGCGCGGCTAATTATGATTTACGGCAACATCGGCGCAACATCCTGATCGGTACGCGAGATACCGCCCGCAGGATATTCAAATGCGATGAATATTGCTCGCCGCGATAAACGGCGCACGAACAACGACAGCGAGGACGGGAGGAAGAAGGAGGAAGAGCGAGGGAGAGGGAGAACGAGAAACCGAGAGGAGAGAAAAGGAGAGGCGGGAGAGACGCGCGTGTAAAGGATACGAGAAAAGGATTCTTAGTAGTCTATTCGGTATGCAAGATGAGCAGTCGGACCTGTACGCACCGAGTCCCTTCCACCCCGAAGGATGTATATCCTCGTGGATTATTCGATATATCGAGCCGCTGTCCGCACAGCGGTTCACTCGAACCTCTCTCTACCCCCCCTTCACCCCGCGCTGCTTCTTTCCCTTATTCAAGGCGGATAACTCACGGCGTCTCGGGGGCTGACGCGTTGCGCGGACGGTGGTTATGATTCGAAACGTTTAAAAAAAGCGGCTCGGCGTTATTAGCCGGCGATGCCTATCTCGAGGAAATAAGAGATACTTATTTCCAGATAGGGAGCTTCTTTACGCGTGTTCTCACATGAATTACATGTGCGTGAAGATCACCGGCAGATAGTATAAGCTTTCTGTAAGAGCGGTGTAATTTGTCGATATTTTATACGGGTCGGTATGCCGCGTACCTCGGTGAGTTAGACGCGACGTTACACGTCGGTACGTTTATAACGATCGTTAAGGACGGTCAGTCGGGTAATGCCCGTTGTTAAACGTGTTAAGAGGGAACACGGAGCGAGGTGGTTTATTAAGTGAAGTTAATCGTTCCAGTGCCACGAGTCTTCGCAAAAATCCGCTCGAGAGGTTCCTTCGTTTCACCTCGGAAACTAATTACGCTTGTCTGATTTTACATGGGAAAATGCTAAGTGGTGCATCGTGCCGTTTTCCTGTTTCCAAGCAAGTAATTAAATGAGTGAAATACGTAGAGAAACTTGACTCGACTCTACGATCGCGTCGACTGGCACTCGAACGATTAACAATCGATGTACCATACCACCGATCGCCGCGCGTTTTTCCGCTGTTGTTCTCGCGATCTCTTCCCTAAGGAGGAACGGTCGCGCTTTCCCCGGAGCGGGTCGAGCGTTTCGCAATCATCCGAGTCCGTTATTTCGAGCGAACGACCGATTACCGATCGCGATTAGGCGGCCACGGCAGGCGCGCCTCGCCGCGGAATGCGCCGCGAAAGAATGGCTACACAATTTGTTAGTCAATGAATCTGAATAGGTTAGCAGGCATAATCCCCGCGGACGACCGGGCCAAGAAAATAATTATCCTGGCTCCCGTGCGGACACGTGAGAAACCGGCGTCCTGGGTGAAAGCTCGCGCGGTTACAGCGACAAAGCGGAAAAATATGATTAGAGAGAAAGAGTTATCGGTTACCTTGTCTGATCGCTTTTTAGTGGGCGTGATAGCGCCGTTAGGTCTGCCATGGAGATCAGTTTCGCTAGCCATCCGGTTGAAACGTTGCATCCGCTCGCGGAAGCTTAATTGCTCGGCCGAGCTCGGTATCCCGGTAACTGCCTCATCTTCCTGCACGTTTAACATCTCGAATTGCCGAAATTTCAGGGGACAATGGTGCACACGCGACACTAACTACTGACTACGGACGAAAGACCAACAAACAACACACCGACTAATGGGGCTAACAAGGACCATTTATGAAAGATTTGGATGGTGCGAGATAGGGTAAACTAACAGTGCGCGGTATCTACGTTTTCTAATCATAGCTCCACAACACACGTGGCAAATCGGTACGTGAACATGCTGAGAAAACGGTCAGTAGCGGTGATTCGTCCCCTTGGTAAGGTATAAGTGAAACTGCAGATTCTGATGAAACGTTTGAGAGGAAATCCATCGTTCGATTCTTTAGCCGGAAGACTGTTCTCGATGCTCAGAGCAATTCAGAGAAATCGACGATTATAAATCTCTTTGATTTCGCCGTCAAGGGCTAGAACTCGAAATTTTGTTAAAGAAAGCAGTTCGAAGTAGTGGATGCCAGAAGAGCCAGTGTGTGACTGTTATTCTGAATCGCCCAGTACGAGGTGCATTAAGTAGCCAATTATTCTGAAGGGACAGGTGTTCCTCAAACGAGTTCGTCAGGATCTTATTAAAATGACTTACTAAAAGGAAGACATTCGCACAACCGATCCCCGCTAACTAAGTGCATCTAAGTAACAACTGCTTTTACAGAGAGAGAGAGAAAGAAAAAAAAAGAGGGGAAGTTACGTAACAGCCACATCGCTACACAGGAGAACACAACGTTCTTAGCGGGACAATAGCATACAGGGTGAGGCACATCGGTTTCGTATACCGCGTCCGCCATTACAGCCGCTTAAGTGACATTTACTGTAACCATGATCACCTTTCTACATAACCAAACCCCGCGCAGGCAACAGTATCGCCTAATAATGCCCAAATTATCTGGTCGCAAGCGACTGTGCGATAAAGCGCGTATACACGTTTCGCCACTTTATCATTCGCACATTTTATTTCCGTGTACAACCACAACCCGAGGATTTACAGACAGAACTCTAGAAATACACCGTGCATACAGAAAAGAAAATGGGAACGTGAAATCTCATCGAGCGCTCGATTCCGTTATCAATAAACACTCCGATCGATTTATCATTTTCCGCGTGGGGCACTATTTTAATCGGACCAATCTACAAGGCCTTCAACTCTCCGGAACGCTTGGATCCGTTATCGCTGGAAACATTCGTTACTTTAAAGTACGGGTTAACCCACACTTTAAGATCCACTTGAAGATTCAAGGGTTTCGATGAAACGGATGTAGTCATAACAGCGTGACATTCGATATCACGCGTATAATAAACTTGTCGAACGAATAACACGTTTATAATGTTCAACGTAAATTTCCAAAGTAATCCGCTAAATATATGAATAAAAATTTAGTACTTGATACTCGAAGAGATCATAACCGTTGGTGCCATTTTGAAAAACGCTATCTACACTCTTGATTTCCCTAGGAGCGTGCAGAAGAGATTTCACGTTTCCGTAACCGTTTACATGCAAGGGAGAACTCACCTTGATCACTGCTTCGGATCCTCCCCTGTTCCTGTCAACGTTCTCCTTATTGTCCATCTTGATTTTATCTTGACTTTTACGTCGGGGTGGCACCGGCGGCGATGCAGTTGAAAATCCAGCCTCCGCACCGTGAACGCCATTTTTCCGCGCGTCGATCGCGGCCCCCTCGTGACCGAAATTTGAACACGATTCCTCGCGGACCGCGTCCGAGTTAGTCGCGGATGGGCTGAGTGGCGCGGGGGGTGGTGGCCTGTACGGCGGAGGAACTCGAAGAGGAGAGACCGGGGTGACAATGTCAGGAGAGGTGAGAGGCGATCCAATTTGCTCCGGGGACGGGAACTCCAGAGCAGTTTGCCGGTACTTCTTCTTCAGAACCAAATACTTCTCCCCCTGCACGGAACAATTGCTCTCAGAAGGTTGCACGTTCGAACGGGCGGAACGACGCGACCGGTTTTCAAGATCGCCCCACTTCACGTGAGTAGACGCATTAAATGATTCTCTACCTCGTTACTTTGTATTTCGTTCCATTTCCGGCAGATTCGGTCGTACAAGCATGCGATATGTAATCGCGCAAAGGCTAGGTAACCTTAAAAAACAGTTAAACTATGCTTGAGCTCTAATTGGTCTATTGCGCATGACCGCGTTCGATCTATCGAAATTTGAAATTCAAATATGGCCGCTACGAACGGTGATATCGATAAATCTTGGAGAAGAGAATAGTCCGTGGAAAATAGATAAGGTTAGCGAACGTTGCGAATTGTTATCGGAAACGATTAATCGATTGGGGAAAAAGACGGAAAAGTTACTTGAGATAACGAGTTTTTCTACGAGCCCGCGCGAGTGACTGGTAAAACCGGCAACGTCGCGCCGCGCGCAACAAGTCGCTGCTGTCAAGGCGGAAGGAAAATCTGGCTAGCGGGATGACGCACCTCTTCGTTCTTTATAGTGGCCAGGGTGTTCACGTATTCCTTGAACCGATTCCGTGCCTCGACTGTAACGTGAATTGGTAAATTGAGCGTGGTTACGTGGCTCGCCGGGTGTGACAAGTTATATCGGCGACCGTGTGCCGTGTTTACACACAGCGCACGGTGAAACATCGAGGTCACACCTCGACGAGTCGAGACAGTTAGCCGATCGAATTCCACGGTGGCGTTTCGACGTACCTCGGGTTTCGGGGTCCGTTAGGAATTTCTTGAAATACTTCACGACGTCGTGGTTCCGTGCTGTGCCACCGTTTTCCAATAAATATTTGCGAATCTCCTCGAGAGACAGCTCGCTGGGCGTCGCCATCTTGTCACTACTGAGCGCCGCGGCAGCGCCTCCAGCGGCCGAGCCGGGACACCGTCGATAAAAACGACCTCTGTGCTGGTCTGCACGCACACGCGTGCGTAACGAAATTCAAATCGCGTTTCTGAAAAACATGCTACGAAATTATACACATTGTGCTACTCTGTAAATAAACGTAACGAAATGCAAATCGGCCGTTCGTTCGTATTTGAACGGTAAACAAGGAATCCGATATGGCCGTAGCACCGGAAGGAAAAGCTTTCGTAACAAGTGAACGACGTCTAATTGGCGGTTAAAAATGCAAATAAAAATTACGTATGCGTGAAAATGCATACACGTAAGCAGCCTGCAATTTCGTTCTTAACAATGTACTAACGAGCTGTAATCACATCGATTCCGCAAAAACGGAATTGTTAACATCATTAGTAACGAGTGCAATCGTTGCCCCTCATGCATAACACATAATACGACTCAATTATATTTCATTATAACTGCAGCCGCGGACGTGGCGCGGTGTACGAGCCGAGTGCGTCCCGTCGTGTCCCGTCGTGTCCCGGCAGGGTCGCGAGGCGATCGGGAATCACCGGGGACGCGAGAAAACCGATTTTTCGCTTCTGCGAATGCAGCTCGTGTCGAACGAGCGACGGCCGAGCCTGACATTCGAATCGCTCGTGCAAACAGACGATTCGCAAAACCTTTTAGCCCTCCGACGCGTTACATTCCATCGATGCGCACGTCCGGCCGGCGAATCCGTCGATGGAATTAAACGGTGTTCGAATAATCTTTTTAGTCATCCCGAGGTACTCGGCGAAACAAATAAAAACTCCCTGTGCTGCCGTGGATAACCTTAATTTATATAATCTCTATTTTATTCATTCATTAAACTCCGTAACGAGGGATGCACGAGAGATGCATAATTACCTGGATACACACCCATCAGACTCTACCTTCGACAGCCTCGTTTACGAATGCAAAAGACATCCTGTTACACGAATATAATTGAGTTCCGCTGTCGCGTGATGTTAACTGGCACGACTAATGATGCAATCTCCGAGAAACAGTCAATTAGTTTCCAATCACGAGGAGCGGATAAATGTTTGATTTGATCATGGCACGTCTGCCGGTGCTGGGAATACGCCGTGATTTGCATAATATTTATAATACCATGTCGGGGCTAGTCAATCTTTCCGCGCCGGATCCGGTGCAGTTCTTTGCGACAATGTTTCGCGAACGAAGAGAATATAATTTGTTCCTGGTAACGCGAAAATGTACGCGCGAAATACGAACGGAATGGTGTGCGTGACGCACGAACCGTTCCGTTCGCATAGATGCGTGTCCGAATAGCAGGAAGCGGCCGGGTGCCTTTATAATTAAACCCCTTTCATCGACGATATTCTAATGTAACGACGAGTAATGATTGAGCCCGGCCCGCTCGCGAGGCTCAACGGTCAAGCGTTTCGTTCTCGGAGCGAATTTAAACAGTCTTAATGGCCGCGATTAATCCACGCCTCTGAAACGGCTAATAAATGTATTTTAATGCGGCCGCGAAAGCGCATTAAGCGTGTTTTGTAACGCCGGTTACGGGGGTCGTTGCGAGATCAGAGATCGCATCGATTAAAGTAATTACAACCTACAACTGCGCGTGGATACTCGTGTCTCTAACCGCAACAAAGTCGAGAGACAGAGAAAGAGAGAGAGAGAGAGGGAGAGAAAGAAAGCGAGCGTGGCCGAGGGAGAAAAAATAAAGGACGGACGAGAGAAGGAAGCATTTTTTGAACGCGAACAGGAGTGTATCAGGCATCTCGGTATAGATGAGATGGTAATCTTTTCGGGTGGCGGTAGCCGCCGCCACTTCCACCGCCGATGTTGCAGCCAGCGTCGCGGTCGCCGCCGCCTCCGCCGTGTTTCTTTTGATACGATTCTATGCCCCGGCGCGGCGGGATTGATGCACGAGATTGGCCGTGGTATTTCCGCGAACAAAATGCGCGCGTCCGAAGAGGTCGGGTCCGGGGGCGAAGTGGACGCAGCAAGAAGAACGAGCGGCCGGGTACGAGGACAAAGGAATCGCGTCGACGCCCCGTGGCCCCGTAGGTGCATCCACGATATCATCTACCCATGTTCCCCTGCGTTATGCTTATGCTCGTGCATACGTAAAAGATCCGCGCGCCGGGCTGCAGCCGCTACACTGCAGCAGCGCTTTATCCGCCCGGTGCAAACTGCAAAAGAGCCCCGTGTGATCTACCGCCCAGTGATATGTCGCCGCTGGGATTCCGAGGAGAGCCGCGGGCCCGCGCATCCCGCGCAGCTCGAGCTTCTTTTTCCCCTCGTCGGACTTCCTCGGCCGTTTGTTCTCGCGCCATTTTAATTAATTCTTGGACAATGCAACAGGGGAATGCCTTGTCCTTTTTCTCCCTCCTCCTTCTCCTCCTCCCCCACCTCCTCCTCCTCCTCCTCCTTTTCTTCTGCCTCTTCTTTCCTCGCGTTTTTTTATTGTGCGCGGTTATCCGAGCGTGTACAAGAATTCATTATGTAATGTATGGTTTCCGCCGACTTCTCTCACCCTTGGGCCACTTGAAAGCGTTACCTCGGTCGCGCTTTCGTAACCCGCCGCTCGCGCATCAGATCGTTTTAGAGGCTCGAAGCAACAGAAATAAGTTGGCCCAGCCTTGATCCTTCCAGTGACGGGCGTTCCCCCGTGTCCGAGTTTCCGCGCGACGCCACGGTTTGTCATCGTTTTCGGTGTCCCGCGAGTGACGATCGCCTTATTTGGACGGTAAAAGTTCAAGCCGAAACGGAGTGCGCCGCGTTGTCGACGAGATCCGATCTTAATATGACGTTTCATAATTCTATTCAACGTATAATCGCGCTCCCCGACGTATCAGCTGCGATCATTTCCATTGCAAAGCGAGCTTATCAAACGAACAACTCAATGGAATAGGTATCTCTTGCGCGACTAACGATCACAGTAAGACGGGTGCCTATTTAAGGAGGAGCGCAACGATGAAGGGCTCGTCTATAATTTCCTTTTACGTAACGGAACCATCCGCGCGCGGCAGTTCGCCGGAACCGTTTAGCGTGATACGGGCATTAGCGCCAGCTCGGTTTTTGCCAAAGGACTCGCCGCGCGAGAAACATCCAGATCGCGGACGACCGGCGACGTAACAGTAAAATCGTGGGGCCACCGATGACGAACTTCTCGCGCTCTATCGTTTTTGCCATATAAAGGGGTCGCGGCGGTGACGCCGACCGACCCGGACCAGATCCCCGCTTATACTATATTCGCCCATAATTGGAGCGGCGCGCGGCTCGCGCTCGAATCGGCCGCGATATATAAAACGTCCCGTATAAAGAGCGCACTTTGGCGGGTTTCTTGCGCGGTTTTTAGTCCCCGTACCTTCGGTGGTCTCGTTAGAAGGACAGTGGGAGGTCCGGATGAAAAACGGCAATAACGCGTAACAAACCCTCGGTCGGTATCTAGTACGAACTCGTAATTCCGAGTCCCGAAAAAACGTCACCGGGAAGGACGAGTTGAGAGAAAAAAAACAAGCGGACGACCGCTGGAGGGGGGGAACGAGGAAAGACGCTGAATGAAAGTTCTGGAACGCGTCGCGCGGGATCGGTCCTCCGATACGACGACTGCCGCCAGCATTATACTCGTGACATTAAAAGCCTTCCGATCGTTTCGGAACAGTTATCGCGATTAATGCGTATCGGTAACAAGTTCCGATCGGGAATAAATTTTGCTGGCGACATGAGGGATATACGTCGCGCGTTGAAATGCGGTATATAATTGAGAGGAAGAGCGGGACAACGAGGGGCGAAGGGGAAAGGGAGCGCGCTTCCTCTTCGGTGGCCACGTACACACGGCAACAGCGAACGTGAAACGTTTCGCTGAACAGAGTTATGGGCTCTAATGAGTCGAGGGGTTAAAAGCGCGAGTCCCGATCTCCTCACGGCAAAAGAAGAGAGCTAAAACCCTATCGGACCGTTCAATCTATCCTGACTACCGTTTACCACGGCGTCGTTTAAAGTGGCCACAGGTGCTCCCGCCCGTATATACGCTCGTCCCGCGTACCGAAAAAAAGAAAGATAAAGGACCGCGGTGGCCGGGTATGAGCCGCCGCCGCGAGTGTTTGGCTTTCTCATAGTTTTACCCGGTGATTTTTAGCACTTGATCGAACCGCGGGACGCCCGTTCGCCGGCGGTCAGCCAGTTCGGACTTCAAAGATTCGCGATCGAGGACTCTGCCTCCTGTACAGGCATTACATATTATCATGGCCGGCATCCAACCGAGCCCCGTGTCCCCTTCGCTCGCGTAGCAAAGCGGCTTTCCGTGCATACAAAGTCGAGGGCTCGATCAACACTCTACAGGGTCGCGCTGTCGCCGGCCGGTGGCTAGAGCCTCCGCGGAAAAGAGCAAAGTATACCTTCGGAACCGGCTAATAGCACACCGGCGTGTCTCCCAGGATAACACGCACCGTGGAAATTCAATGGTATTTGCCTGGACGTTTGTCACGAAATTTTTGCGTCTACAATGCAAACTGGTACCACCGAGAATATAATTACTATAGAATCGGAAGACGAAAATAGTTGAAACTCGAACGTTTCGGAGCCGCCGGAGAATGACGATGCCAGTGAAGCGCACCGGTCTCGGCTGCTTTCAGTAAAACTGCAACTTTCATCGACGCGAGGATGTCGCAGTCCGGGACCATCAATCTTTCACGAGAATAGCGACCCGTGCCGCTTCGGAGTGTGTCGGGGCGATAATAACGACTGCCAAGTGGCGACTATTAGTAGCGTTTTAAGCCAGGTACGCCGGTCGATGGGTACGACAGGGATGAAATTAAAATTGCTGGCAGATGGTGGGGGAATCGGGAAGGGGGGCTGGCCGAGCGGACGCCGAGGGAAAGAGAGAGAGCGAGAAGGGTTGGTTGGCGGAAGAGGGCCGAAAGTACTATCAGCGATTCGTGTCGCTGTTAGTAACTACGCATTAACGCATTCATATCGCATTCCGACCCTCCGTTCGACCGGTGCCCGGTGTCCACGCGCCCGCTTGTACCT